TAGTCTTTTTTTTTGCATACGTTTCAGGCCATTATAAGCATTTCATAAAAAATCACGCAAAACACGCATTTTTGCACGTTTTCGTTCGTCACGGCCGAACGAAAAATAATCCCTCCGCAAAAACTGTTGTTAGAATATACCTCGTATTTTCCCGAACAATTTGATACCATGTTTAGCTCTTTATCACTATTAATAACGGAATGAGCGTCCGTTCAAGATAACCGTCCGTACGCGCGATTTTTGCAATACATAGCATATATGGGCAAAAAAATGCCCATAAAAAGTCCATTGAGATGAATAAGTACCACCGCCAATTTTGTTTCCATATTTAGATATAGTATGAGTCAGAAATATGATTTCATATCTCATTTGGACATTAAGTCGATCTTGACGTCATCATAATGTCCTTGGAAGTCAAAATACAAAAATGCATAGTATGACGTCATTATATTTATGGAAAAATTTGTGTATTTCTCTCAATATTCATCGATTTTCTTCTAAATTTCAATATGTTGTAGTCGAGGCAAGTGTCTACAAGATCAATGCACACTAATTTTCATTTGAATGACGTCATCATAGTACAAAATTCAATTAAAGGCCACATGTCAGAATTTTCGACATTTGCGTGTTATGTCTATGGAAGGTGATTTTTGTTGACATCATGAATCTACATGACATTCATCTTTGAGCGCTATTTTGCTTATTTGTGCTTTATTTTCTCCCAGATTTTGGTATGTTATAGCTGAGACCATGGGCTATCAAAACAGTGTTAGTGTTTTTTGATCAGATGATGAGATCATGTCACAATTTTCAGTTGAATGTTGAAATGATGAATATGTCACCTATGTCCTATTTGTAAAACTTAAACGTTAGCAGTGTCCTCGTATTCAAATTATGTAAGGAAACCCTTTTACCTTTTAGACTTTACTGTCAGACACTATTGATTGACTGACTGACATCTTTTTTTTTTTGGTAATAAAAAACATAAAATGAGCGTTATAGGGAACATGAGCATTTGTCTACATTAATAACCCACTCTGTACTCATTCTTCATTTTCTATTCAAGACTTGAATAATGACGAACTTCATTCAATATTTGGTAGTAATACTAAAGATACTTATACTGATATCAATGATTTCAACTATTTATCCGAAAAAGAAGATGAGTTTCATTTCAGTATGTTTCTGAACTGTAAATATTATATTGATGAGGATTTTACGACTGAATATCAGTAATATTGACTATCATTTTAGTATTTTACATTTTAATTTCCGTAGTTTAAACATACATTTTAATGCTTTATCCAATTTCATCTGTACTTTATGGATAGATTTCTCTAAAACTTGGATTAATGACAGTACGCCACTTTTATTCAATGTGTCTGGTTATAGTACAGTCTAATCGCCAAGTAGGAAAGGGTGGAGGTGGTGGTCTATTGGTCGCTGACAATGTTGAATATGAAATACGAAATGATATATTTATATTATACCCATCATACAATTACTAATCACTGTTTATTGAAAGCAACTTGCCGAGACATAAGAATATTATTGTAGGTGTCATATATAGGAAACCTCAATCAAATATCAATGATATAATCCCTGTCTTTGAAAGTGTTTTACAGAAAACTTATACTGAACATAAACAGGTTTGTATAATGGGAGATTTTAACATTGATCTCGTGAAATTTACTGACAATGCTGTATGTAATTTCTTGAGCGCAATACATTCAATTTTTGTTATTCCTCTAATTGATAAGCCTTTGAGAAAGACTGACAGATCAATATCCCTCTAATCCACATTCCTTATACAGTGACAGTATATATCCATCCGATATTTAAAGATTTTATTTTCAAGGAACTAGCAAATCTCACGTCGACAACTCAAAATGATCGCTGTAAATGTATTCCCACATTTATTTTGACTTTTCATTTACGCCGGGACATCGTGACGTCATACCGTATTCATTTTTAATTATTCAGGCATAAGCTCTTATTTATCAATTACATTTTCATTTCTTTGAATAAAATAAAATCGTCAAAATGCGCTCTTCATGAAGTAAATTAGAGTCAAAGGTGTAACTGGTTACTGCACAGAGTCAATGGTCATATATTGTTTCAATCCATCTTCCCTAGATCCATAATGATCAAGGGGACACAATTTAATCTTGACATATAGATAGATCATAATGGGAGAAGCATTTTATAAAATAATATGATATCGTGTAATGCTTTATTCGTTATGTAAACGAATATCATACGTATCACCTAATTCGTCTAAGTGACGAATTAAAGTCTAGTTAGGTGATACGTACGAAGTCTACGTATCACCTATTGATTTCGTCAAGATTTTTTAATTTTTTTAAAAATTATTTATTATTCTTCCTCGAATTTGTTCGCAGGATATCTCAAGACTGAATAAAGCCATTGTCATGAATCTTTCATTGATGATAGATGTTAGTCTAACTTAAAACTGCGTGACTTTTCAAAGACTCAAAATAATCGTGACGTCATCCAGGCGCCATTTTGTGAAAATCAACTTATGATCATATCTTCATAACGTAAAGAAATTTTTCATACATATATATCATGATTAAGATCAATATCCGTCCGGTCAATTTCAGGTCAATAAACGTGCGCAAATTCGCGCATGTTCTAAATCATCCCAAATTTTGTTTGCATACGTTTCAGGCCATATGGGGCATTTGACAAAAAATCATGCAACTGCGCATGCGCGCGCGTTTTTTGCGCGTACTAGCATTTTGCAACATAGAATCGCCGAATTTTCTCTGTCATCGTATTTGGCACATTTTTCCAAGCATTTTGATAACTTGTTCACCTTTTAATAACGCAATGAGCGTCCGTCAAAGTTGACAGCACGCGCGGACCTGCGTTATCTTTATCCACAATACATGGGCAAAAACATGCCTATACAAAATTAATTGTAACTCTTTAGAATAGATAGCAACTCCCAATATTTTGTCATATGTAGATAGATTATGAAATGGAGATATGATTTCATGTCTCATTTGATCCTCAATTAACTCAAGATGTCATCATAATGACCTCCGATCTCAGAATTTAAATTTGCATATTATGACGTTTGCATATTTTTAGATAATTGATTGTATCTTTGATTGTATCTCTGTAAATATTTTTTTTGTCTTTCAAATTTTAATATGTTCTAGCTGAGACAATTTTCTACAAATTCAGTCAACACAATTTTTCATTTTGACAAAGGCATCATGGCATATTTTTGTGATTAAAGGAGGCATGTCAATTTTTCACATTTTGCGTGTATTCTCTATGGGAGATGACTTTTTCTCAAATCTGGATTCTACATTTCTGTCTTTTTGAGCGATATCGCCGTTACTTCTGCTTGGATTTTATTGATTTTGAGAATCTTGTAGCTTAGACAAGTTTCCACAAGATTTATGTAGACTATTTAACATTATCACGACGTTATCATAGTCAAAAATTCAATCATAGGTGACATGTCAGTTATCATATATAACAATCCTCAATCGAATACCTGAAGGGGGCGCTGTACCACTTTTAATCATGGTCATCATCATCATCATCGGCACACTGTAATTCAAGAGCCTAGCTATTTATGCTAGAAATATTGAAGGCATTTTTCTCAATTGCATCTCTCCCCCCTCTCTCTTTTCTCTCTTGCTCTGTCTCCCTTCACCTAGTCTTGTTCTGCCCCTCTCCTTCTCTTGGTCTCTCTCATCTGCATCTCTCTTGTCCTCTCCTCTCTTACACTTTCACCCTCTCACTGTTTCCCTTTCCCTCTTCTTCTCTTGATTTGTCTCCTTCTGTCTCTGCCTCTCTCTCTCTCTCTTTCTCTCCTCTCTCCTCTTTTACTCTGCATCATCTCAGCTTGCCTCATTTATATGTATAACAATTTAATCCAAGGAAATTCGAGGCAATTTGTATCGTTTGGCCATTCACTGCCATGCATACTAACAATCATTTGTAGATTTAACATCATAGATGTTGGGTTATGGATGGGTACAATATTAATATCTTACTCATATTTTATATTAAATCATGACTAAATAAATCACTATGTACATTTTGTAATATTTATTAAAAAAAGTGTTTTGAGCTTGTTTAGTATAAGTAAACAGTTTAATCCTCTATCGAAAACCTGAAGGGGCGCTGTGCCACTTTCAATCATGGTTATCCTTCTAATATCGTCATCATAGTATTCATGAACATAATCGTTTTTTTTAATTATCGGCAACACTGTCATGATCAGTATTCACAAGAGCTTATTTATGCTAGAAATATGGAAGGCATTGTTCTCAATTGCATCTCTCTCTCTCCTCTCCTCTCTCTTGCCCTTTTTTCTTTCTCCTTTCATGTTCTGCCCCTCTCCTTTTCTGGTCTGTCTCTGCATCTATCTCTCTCTTTCTACTCTTTCACCCTCTCCGTCTCTCTCACTCTTGCCTTGCCTCCCTCTTATTCTCTTGCTCTATCTCCCTCTGCCCTACACAGTTGAAACTTGACTCATGGATAGACCATAATGGGAGTAGTAAACGATAGATGAAATCGTGAAAATGCGTTCTTCATCATGTTACACATGGGCATACGTATCACCTAATTCGTCAAAGTGATGAATTCAAATCTAGTGTCGAGTAGAAATTTTGATTAAAATGCGGTCATGAACAAATATGTGAATTCACTTTTGTAAGCGACAATGAAATACACATGTAGTTAAGACCGTAACTAAGGTGGATGCGTGGGTGCATGCGCACCCCCTAGCAACAAGAGGTCTGCTTATAAAAAAGACAGGAAACAATGCAAACATCATAGGTAGGACACACACAATCAGAATAACCTCAATATGATATTTAATTAGCTTTAATTCATAAACCCTTTTAAATATATATATGTTGTCTCTTTGCAGCACAGATGGGTACACCCCCTCCTTCGGGGTATAAGCTAGATCTTCACAATACACTTCAATCCCTTTATCTTAAATAAAGTTCCGTATTAAATCGCTCAAGTCAAGTCAAGAGGCAAATATTTGGATAAGGAAAAAAGTGAAAAAAGTAAACCATTTTATGTACACTGAACATGCATGTCACTAATATGAGTAATTCTCTCATAGTAAACAAAATACCCCTTTTGTGTCAATTACAGGATGCCTTGCTGAGATTATCATACATGTACCAGCTGACTGAGTTTCTCTCGAATGAGAAGGACATTTTGCACCATGGATGGATTTTGCCTTCTCTATCTGCTCGTGATTCTCCTGGTGAGATCTGGTGATGTTGAAACCAACCCTGGACCAGACAGGTCAGTCTATATGTAATTGAAGCTTATTTCTAGTTCTTTATTGCAATATTAATGAGCAGTAGGGATAATAAAGAACTTTTCTTATTATTAAAGCTTAACACCACATACATGCATGCATATTTTTCTTTCATATTCAAGAGCACTGCTTAATGAGGTATAAGCCTTGTGTTTGCATGCTTTAATATACCTTCAACAGTACATGTAGCTTAATTAAATCTGGTAAGTATGCACATGGAGCTGCAGGAACTAACAGCTAGTGCTCAACTGTTGGAGCTAGTGTACATATTTGTAGGCTGGAGTAAATTTATTCTTCCATGTAGTGAGTTGTACAGTCTGTTATGCCTGAATGCTCATCAGCAACTGAACTGAACTTACTAAGTATGAAGATAAGTGATGAAATGTATGTACAGGAGGGGTTACAACACAATAAGAGATACTCAATAAAATATGTTTTTATTACAGGATTGTCAGTGAGGAGGAATTCATGGAGCTGTCTAAGCTGATTGCCCCTAGCTACTACAAAGGGGTGGGCGTTAACCTGAATATCCCAAATGCAGAGCTTGACCAAATCATCGTGCAGCATTTGCAAAATACCAGTGATGCATTGATGACAGTCTTCACGAGATGGAGAGACAAACAGCCTCCAGGCACAGACATCAGGGCTCTTCTTGCAGAGGGATTAACAAGAAGTGACTTAGGGTCCCTCTCTGGCAAACTTCTCGCTGGCAGTCTAGTCCCGAAAAGGAAAGGTAAGAATATGAAGGAAATCATGTTGGCTGCTCGCAAGAAGGCCTTTACTGCCTTTGATAATGTATTGCTCTTGCAGGCAGCCAACAAACACTGATTTGACACTTCCTCATTTGGTACAAATAGGGTAATTTTATAGCAGGACATGTCGGTAGACAAAAAGCCCATGGGACTCATACTACCGGTCTGGTGAACCCTAAACAAGTTGTCAGAACACCCATGAGACTGACATGTCAGGCTTGTGGGCTGTTGGTCGCATGGGCTGTGGCCATAAATACATGGTAAAAGACCCACTCACTTTGTGCTGTGTTAAGGGAGATATTGCAATTAGTTTTACATGAAGCTGTACAAGGATTATCATTCAAATTTCTTGGCATTTCAAGCCCAGCCACCTTCTGACTTTATTTTTCAAATCATACTCATCTTTTGACACCAAGTTTATGAAAATTGTACCATTACAGAGTCGTTTTATCTTTTTCCACCTTATATCAGCCCCAAAATGGAGATTTTAATATTTTTGTGTACAAAACAAAAAGAAAACTACATTTCTCTTAGTTCTTTCTATATCGCGTGGAATTATTCTTTTAGTTGTGATTTATAAGGTTTATAAGGTCCATCATTATTGTCATTAAGTTATCAATGGAAATTATGGATATTTACATGTTGTATATGGATACGTATATTCGTACATACAAAAAAACAAATTTTTATTGAGATACGTTTAAGTTAGAAGAAAAAAACAGACATATGCAGTAGGCTTGCGGTTGCACCATGTGAGAGAGGGGAGGATTGGGGAGTCCTGAAAAGGACTGTCGGTAATCTTTCTTTCTTGAGTGTGTGTATAGTCCTAAAAGGACTGTTGGTAGTCTTGTCTAGTTAATATTGAAATGCGTAATATTTTATCGTGGATTAGAGCGAACAAATTATCTTTAAATCTCCAGAAAACGAAGTATATGTTATTTAGTAATTCTATGAATTCATTGCCATCAAACATAATTTTGAAAATACTCCATTGGAGTGTGTTTCATTTAATATATTTTGGGGTGTAACGGTTGACCAAATACTTTCTTGGAGAAATCACATCGACAATATTTGTAAAAATTTTCTCGAAATATTGATATTATTTACAAAGTAAAGACATGTCTTCCTCTTAATTCCTTAATTATGCTTTAAAGTTCTATGATACTCCCATACTTGAACTACGGTGTCTTAGTTTGGGTTAACACTCATCAAACGTCATTAGATTAAGTATTTTTTATTACAAAAGAAGATTATTCGTATTATTTGTAATTCCCCCTTTCGCTCCCAGACAGACGCTCTATTTTTTGAAAATAAGATACTTAAGGTAAAGGACTTATATTTTTTCCAACTTGGTCAATTTATGTATAATTTAAATAATAATATGTTGCCATCTGTTTTACAAGAAATGTTTTTTAAAAATAGGTCAGTTCATAATTACCCAACAAGACATTTAGATGATTTTCATTTACCTGTCTTGCGGACCCTCTCAGCTCAAAAAACATTTATATATGAAAGTCCAAAGTTTTGGAATTCATTAAGTGGTGAAATAAAAAATGCCCCATCGATTAATACTTTTAAGAAAAAAAATGAAATTATTTTTATTACAATCATATACACCTCATTGAATTATATGCCTTTGTTGCTTTTGCTTAATACAAAATCATTCTCCGCTCACTGACTCAAGATGTAAATTGATATATTATATTGTTCCTTCTCATGCTTATTTCCTTTCTAACGCGCATTTCTCTTTCCTTATCTTCTTCTCAACCCCACATGCAGCTCATTATTTAGTATTATTTTCTGTACCCTAGATCTCTCACTTCTTTTTGTCATTGTCTACTCTTTGTATTATGACCGTGTTCTTCTATCTTTGTCGTGTAAAGTATTGTCTTGTCCCTTTCTCGTCTCTGTTGGCATCCCCCTTTTTATTTCCCCTATTTTGTAGTTCCTTTTGTAGTTAAAGATTAGTTGATTTAATTACTCATTATTCCTAAGTTTCATTTGAGGTGTTCACACTTGTACAAGCATTGCTTTTTAGTGGACCCCTCTGTCTCCAAATTTTTTTTAAATGCTTATAATTGATTTGTAATGTTTTGTTGGAAACATGAATAAATTTGAAATCTTGAAATCTTGAAAATCTTGTAATCTTGAAATCTTGATTTCTACTGATAACATTGTGCGTCAATTGTATTTGTTCTCACAACTTTATTTTGATGTTTGAATGTAAATAAACACCTCATTAGAGGCAGACAAAAAATAAAAATTACGTCATAATTTTAGAGGCGTATCCGGGAATGGAACCCAGGACCTCTCATATCCAAACAAGAATAATTTCCTCGTTCGTTTACCATTGTCCAAGATCTTTTGCATAATTTGAAACTTTTTCAAACATATCTAGAATACTTGACTCATGCTCTAAACAGTGATATAAATTGACCACCATATACGTGTTTCTTGGTGAAGCAATAGGGACTTTTAGATTATGCACGACGAGAACGCGGACTGCCCTTTTGAGGCAATGTGACGTCATTGCCAGTGCCTTAAAAGGACGTCACATTGCCTTAAAAGGGCAGTCCACGTTCTCATCGTGCAGAATCTAAAAGTTTGTCACAAATATGTGACCGGTGCAGTGAGAGTAAACAAAGTCTCGGAAAAATGAAATTTGTCAGCAATAGACCGGTTTACTAACATATTCAAATTGAATCCATACTTTTAAACAAAGACTGGTCTTTACAACCTGAAAGCTTGCCCGAGGCTGGCCCGAAATAGCAACATATACGTTAAGTAGATCTGATTCTAAGTATTTTAGTTCATTCATTAATGACAGGTTAATGTAATAACTCGTCACTAGATCCCCAGGAAAGAAACATCTATAACATTTACATAATGTAAGTGAACCGGTCAATTTTAAGAAACTTATGCCCCGTGCAGGCAAGCCTTGAACCGCCTTACGGTGGACCCCATGTTTGTGATTGTTTATCATATACGTATCTATATTTTATATCTTGACATTAATCCTCAGCTTGGATACCATTCACGATGGCAGAGAGGCTGAAAACCGAAGAGATGACTGAACCCTCGAGTGATGACACGCTAAGTACAAGGTACAGATACGTTAAGCATAAGTCCATGATGACTGAGTAAAATCACTTTGAAGAGTAGTTCAGGTTATTATTCTTTCAAATGTCATGCGAATGAACTATTGGTTGTAACAATAATAAACAATGGTCGGCACATGTTGTAAAACATGGAGATGCGTATATTGAAAATTAAAATATAATGTTATCATAATTAATCTCAGGGGAAATAAATGATAAACACCAAACCTCCAAGGTACAACGAATCTTTTTTGTCAGTATTAACGGCAAAAAGCTTAAACGACGGCCCTCCTTTCAATTCATTCAAAGCTTTATTTTGTAAACAGGCAAGGAAATGTGACCGCGCACCAACAAACAACCAAAGAGTCATATAGTGTGGCTTTCAGTAAGAGCTCAATAAAGGTGTATTTGTTCAGGATGGCCACATTAGCTTTTATAATTTCCTAAACTCTATTCTTAGTCTTACTTGATGTCGTTCCAAAGATGCTCGTTGTCAGGGGATCTTTATGGAGCTGCCTACTCTATGCGCTCGAGCCCGTTATCTTACAAGTATTGGTTGGCGATTTGGACAAGATGTGGTCAAGCTTTATTGTCCATAAAAAGCTTGCAATGGCAGCTGCGTATGGAATCACACGTGGCTCACATACCTCATTGATATACCGTCCGGATGTACCGTTGGGCTTTTAACAGAACTAGAATGGAAACAAGGTCCGTTTTGCCAGTGGTGCTGATTCAACCACACATCATCAGTGGCGGATCCAGGGGTGGGCACAGGGGTCACGTGCTCCCCCTCGGCCCCAAAAATATGTTAAAATCAGCCCTAAATTCGCCCAAAATGCACAAAAAACAGGGTCGTGCCCCCCCCCCGGCAATTTTTTTTTTGTGGGGGGGGGGGGGGGGGGTAAAATAATAATAATAAAAAATATGCCAATGGCTGACCTAAAAATGTGACCTTACCCCCCCCCCACAAAGGAGCAAAATGTCAAATTAAAAATGTTTTTAACCCCCCCACCAAAAAAAAAAGTGTCCTCTAACCCCCCCCCCCCCCCGCTTATTCAGCCGCTGGCTGAGTCGTTGCAATTTTTATTTTGGGACTAAAAAATATATATATATATGTTCTCTTTCCAACCGTGTGCCCCCCCCCCGGCAAGAAATTCCTGGATCCGCGCCTGATCATGACACTTCAATCCACCTTGGTAGGGTTCCAATCTCCTCAAAATCTCAAAAACAGGGTCGTGCCCCCCCCCCCGGCAATTTTTTTTTTTTTTGTGGGGGGGGGGGGGGGGTAAAATAATAATAATAAAAAATATGCCAATGGCTGACCTAAAAAGGTGACCTTACCCCCCCCCCCCCACAAAGGAGCAAAATGTCAAATTAAAAATGTTTTTAACCCCCCCACCAAAAAAAAAAGTGTCCTCTTACCCCCCCCCCCCCCCCCCCCCCACCCGCTTATTCAGCCGCTGGCTGAGTCGTTGCGATTTTTTTTTTTGGGACTAAAAAATATATATCTATATGTTCTCTTTCCAACCGTGTGCCCCCCCCCCCCCCGGCAAGAAATTCCTGGATCCGCGCCTGATCATGACACTTCAATCCACCTTGGTAAGGTTCCAATCTCCTTAAAATCTCAGTCTTCCATTAGAGCTCTTCAGGAAAAACCTCAATTGATAAGTGAAGAGGACATTTGCCCAACGACGTCGGCTCCATCGGCGATGTCGTCTTGCAAATTGACGACGTTGATGACGGAGCCGATCTGTTAAAAATTTTCCTTCAACACGATACCATATTTCTTAAATGCACGTACATGTATATGCTCTTTGCATTTACTGGCGTTATATATTTTAGGTCCTACTTAATGTGTTTTTGGGATAGGGTTATGATAATGATATTTATATTCCACATACTAATAATCTTGCTCTACGATTAGTCAAAAGTAAATCACGTGATGACAGATAGTTCGCCCATCATTGATTGGAGAAGAAAAGTTCGTTGCACTGTGTAGATAGTAGTACGATCTACACAGCCACGCACTTTATTGTATACGTTGCGTATTGCTCTCCTCTTCTTAACACTGGCAGAGTGGGAGGGGGCACAATTAGCTTATACCCCTTCTCCCTCCTGAAACCTAAGTGGCATACCTTAAGCACACAACCACCCACACAAGTCCCCCTCCAAGGGGCGGATCTAGCTTTTTACCAAGGGGGGGGGGGTTGATCCAATCAGGCGCGGATCCAGGATTTGTTAGGGGTGGGGGCCCAATTTTTTTTCTTTTTGCTCTCGAAAATTTGAAAATCGCGCCGGCCGAAAAAGCGCTCAGTGGGGGGGGGGGGGGGGGGGGTTTGCCCCTCGAAAATTTGGAAATTAATGTGTTTTTACAAGTTTCCCCCCCCCCCCCCCCTGGATCCGCCACTGGATCCAATGACGAGCATCGTACACGAGCCGCGAAGCGGCTCGGCGATTTTATGTTTTATCTTTTTTATCTTTTTTTATTTTATTTATATATATATATATATATATATATATATATTTTTTTTTTTTTTTTGGGGGGGGGGGGGTTCCTGGCATCTACTAACAAACGGACCATCGTCCACGAGTCGCGAAGCAGCGATGCGATTTTGTTGTTGTTGCTATTTTGAACCCCATAAGTGATGTTTTCCTGGCATACATCTACTAAGACTGTGTGGGTCTGGACATTATGGTGGCGTTTTTCTATACACATCACATTTTCTCTTGGCAGCCCAATGGGGAGATCTTCCCGGCGACATATCACTAGACCACGACACCTTTACACCTTTATTTAGAGCCAATTCATTTCTTTGTGACGATTTACTTTCTCCTAAAACATGATTAAATTATGATGATATAGTTGGGAGAATTAAAGAATCGATCAGATCAGTTTTCCCCAATTGTAGCAATAATGCAATAATAATGGTCTATTTTCACTCTAACTTTCTGATTATCCTTAATTGTACGTCCAATGTCCCTACCTTAACACCATTTTTTTAAATTGAACAACATGACAAAGTTCATTTGATATATATATAAGAAAGCCCCTAAAGACGATCGTATCATATTTCCTAACAGAACGACATTGTAGTTGAAAAATGAGAATCCTTCTCAGTCTAAACGTAAATGTTCAAATATTTCATTTTTTTTGTTTGATTAAACTCAACACTAACACGACTAAGTATGTTTGAAGTCTTGATATATATACATGTACATGTTATCATTAAATCTTAGAATACTGGCTCACATAGTGTATTATGGAAATTAATGATATTAACATCTGTGATGAATCTATTGTTTAATTGTACTGGCTCACATAGTGTATTATGGAAATTAATGATATTAACATCTGTGATGAATCTATTGTTACTATAGTAAGTGAAATAATGAATTCGCATACCGGTGACCTGAAAGATCAAGCAAGAAATAAATTACGGTTTACCAGGATATTTTGTTTGATTATTTACTCAGTGATATGAAATTCGTGATATCCAATGAATAAGAGACTAGATAACATGTGTAGTTTACATGTTTAGTTAACATTAAAGGTAAAGACCAGTATTGGAAACGCCCCAATTTCAAAAAATGAAATGGAAGCTCTTTATTACCAATCATGTGACAGAATATGTTTTGACTAATACATGATGATAACAATTTTGCCGGGAAACCGCCTACTAATTGATATATTTGGTAAATTAGTTTATCTATTGGACTGTGAGAGATAATTGCACACGTCGCGCACGTGTGCGTAGTCCCGTATACATCTTTCTGTGTACAGTACTTGAAACTTTACGAAGACTGGGCCAAATTTCTTATCATTTTGATGATTCCAGAACCTTGCAGTACACACAAATACTTATATGCTAGATGATCAACCTTTTCTGATCGATTCCACAACGTTTCTTTCACAATGTAATCGCATGGCCATAACTGGTCTTTATCTTTAAAGTATGAAATGCTTTAATTTTTTTTTTTAATTATATATTTTCTAGTGGTCAATCGTCGAGGCAAACACTTGGATTCGATGACGTCATCCTCAAAGTAGCAAAAGCCATATCAGATGATGGTGATGTAAGGAGACTTGGACTTGAGCTGGGAGTCCAGACTCCTGATATCAACCGGGCATTGGAGACAAATTGGGCTGGAGGTAGAAAGACCAGTAATGGTAATGTGATGCTGCTTCAGAATTGGGCAGAGACGGTCAAACCATCCAAGCAACTTCCCATTCTTAGAGCTGCTCTCCAGGCGGTGGGCTTAAAAGAAATAGAGGAGACGTGTCTGCAAGGAAAAGGTGAACTAAATTTTTTTTCTTCAAAGCTTTGAAGATCAGCTTTGATACGGTTGGAATATAATCTTTCATAAAGAACAGTTTTTAAGTGGTTCCATTCTTGAAAATCAAAGTGTAGCTCTCATTGCTTTGCTCTCTCGTATATAAGCTTCATCCGTAGATTGTTTAAAATGGAATTCAACTTTTACCCCAAAACATAACTTTCAACGTTTGAAAAGAAATCTGATCTCTTGGGTTACCTTGCTGTTCCCTTACTGTATTTTTCCACTTTTCTTCAATTTTAGAAAAATAGTTTAATATCATTGTTAAAAAAAAGCGAAACTCTACATAGGCCTGCGGCGCTCTGTTGCGAATTGCTTAAGCTGCTCGCCTTGCCCCCTCGCTTGTAAATTTACGTAGATAAGTTTGGGCAGGGGGGGGGGGTGTCAGTTTCATTGACTTCTCTGGGCACCATAATCTAAATATACGCTACTGTTTATACAGAGTTGTGAAGATAAAATTGGTTTGAACAAGGAGTATTGAGCTCCTTATTTTGGTCTGGCGGTACCGTCCGATCTGTCTCTGCTTAAACATTAATTCTGATTTAAACTTTGTCATTAGGATGTAGTATGAATGGACATTGCAAAAAACAAGTCAGTGACAAAGATTTACGTCAGGATGGGCTGTCAGATGCCCCCTAATTATCCATTGAATATCTTCCCTCTGTTTTCCAAGAAACTTCACGAACATATTGAGCTAATAACGTTAACTGTGTGGGTGTACAAACAAAAAACATAT